ATTAAATAATAACAGAATTACTCGTTTTATTTCAATTAATTTGCACAAGGGTATATGTTAGTAATAATTAGTCAAGTCGTATTATTTGGAGTGGGCAAATATTCTAAGCATTCAATTTTATTTGAAAACTATGTAATGAATATATAGTAAAAATACTCTACAATTAAAAAAGCGGTGAATTTTTACACACATGAGTCTTTTTCATTTTTTTTGTTAATATGGCGTATTGTTTCGTATATAAAATGCCTCAGTGTCTAAGTCAAAGACAAGGTTTTTTTATAAAAAAAAAAAAGAAAGATACGTGTGTCGAAAGAATATTCAGCAGTATTATTGCTAAGTATCTGGCATACCGGCTTCAATAAATCTCCCAATCTGCCGTAAGGTTGCCTCGTTGTGTCTTTTCTATAAATATTTTCATGGTAATTTTTCAGAGGAGCACTTTGCTATGATACCTAGACATTTTGAATTTAAGCGCAATACTAGACTGGCAACGAGGTTTCATCAATTTACATTCGAGATGTAACCGTAAGTTCTATGCTAACAGTTTCTTTTCTCGCTTGTGGAACTCCTTTCCAACTCCATGCTTTCCACCTAAATCTTCAAAAAAATTAAATGCAGTGTCAATCATTATCTACTGTCCTCCTAATTACTCTTTTTTATTCTCTCTCTTTAGCAATTTTTTTTGTTTCGAACTCTTTCATAGCCAGTAACTCCTTGTGTCTTAGTGGCTTGTTTGGGATGAAATCACTAAAAAAAGTGTGAAAAGCTTTTATTGAACAAAAGTTCATGCTGACACTTTTTCTCAATACAAAATATGGTTTACTGTTATTTAATTTTGTTTAAAACCTACAAAATCCACATTGCGTACATTATCGCTTGGATAGAAAATAAATATGCTAATATTAGATCCAATATTAAAGAGAATGTCATAATCCGCCTGTTCCACTGTATTACTGATACCACACTTCTTAAATAACTTAATTACTGTATCATTTATTTTCCCCACAGATTCTTCACCCACATGCGTACCTGAATAATTGTCGTTTTTTTTCTTCCTCCAGTGGGGGTCGTGGCAAAATCTTTCTGCGGTATATAATTGTTCTATTCGTTCCCCTTTAAAGTGTTAAGGGGTTTGTTGATAGAAACGCCGAGACATTGAGATTCATTTGCTAAACTGCTGGGTATAACATCTAGTTGTGTTTTTAGCTAATAAGAGTTTTTCGTTATTATTTCCGTTGTTTTTTTCCTTTATAAATTATTCCCATTTTCAGTGTATAGGACGCATGCAGAGCTTGGCATCAAACACGGGGCCCAAAAGTGTCTCTTATACGATGAAGAATTAGGGCCGGGTTTACTGTTATTTCTGGTTATAAAATATCGGCAGATGAATTGCAAAAATTCTTTGTGGGCACTTGTCAGTTTTCTTCCATCTTCAACATGCCAAGAAAGAAATTGAGAATTACCGAGAAAAAAGAAAAAACAAAAGAAAAAACTAAAACAAAAACAAACAAGCGATTACTGGTAGATTTTAAGAAGGACCCTTTCTAATGACGCATATCTATCAAAAGACTATCTACACCATTGTGCAAATTAATTGAAACAACCGTTTCAGTTTCCTTTCTTTCATCATGTGGTCAGTTTTAGGCTCACTAAGATGAGAGGGCGTAATCGATTTCTGTTTTTTTTTCCTCAGATTAGATCATTTGCAATATTTTCAGTAATATAAATTTATTTTTGGTGTGTGGGATGAATTTTGTTTGCCCATGAAAAATATTGTGTCATCCGTGAGTGCATCAGATGTTCATCACGCCCAGACATTATTGTCTCGACTGTCGATTAGTTGTCCTACGGCCATTGTCTGCGATGGACGTTACTCTAAGGAAGCGTACGAAAATTGTAACTCTGCATAAACACACTGGAAAGCCTGACCAGTGAGCAAATTAAAGTACTATAGACTAGCACAGAAACTCGCCTTATTTAAATCCAATCGAAAATCGGCAAGGAACAACTTCGTAGAATCGACAAACGAAGTACTGACATGTGCACTGAGTCATGTTTCATTGGAAAAAGTCGAAAAAAGTAAATAATAACGGAATTATTCGACTTGTTTCAATTAATTTTCCCATGGGTGTACCATTCACCACCCTTAGAATATTGTTGCCATATATGGCCCTGTGCTCTTGATATATATTCTGAGATTCTTGATAAAATCTAAAGAAGGATCAGCAACATCATTGGTCTTGACCTGGCATCTCGGCACTACTCATTTTCCCACTGTCGTAAAGTTTCTTCCCAATACCTCTTCTATAAATACTTTCATGGTATTTGTTTGGGTGAGCTCTTTGCTATGGTAGCTAGACTTTATTAAATTAAAGGGTAACACTTGATTAGTAAGTAGATGAACTGACTAGATGTAACCGTAAGTTCTTTGCTGACACTTTCATTTCTCGTACTTCTCGCTTGTGAAACTCTCTTCAGGTTCCACGCTTTTCAGTTAACTTTAAATGCAATGTCAATCGTAATCTGTCTGCCTTATCATTCTTCTATTGTTCGCATACCTTATTCATTTTTTTTGTTTTCTAATTCTTTCACACTTTGTAAACCATTTAGTGGTTTTTCTGGCTTTACTTCTAAGGACACACTTCATGTATGAGAAGAAACATTATACCGAGTATCATTTATGTGATAAAAGCAATATTTTCCCAAATAAGAAGAATTAAGTTTGTGTTACGCCAATCTTTCTAATGTGGACAACTTGCTTATCTAAATTATCTGTGTTCAAATTTGTTCTTTTACTCTTTTGAAACAAATTATGCTCTCTGGAATAGTGATGCCGGTGGGAATTATAACACAAGCGTGCTGGTTTAAATAAACGTTCCGCAAGGAAGTCTTATATAAAGTTAATAAACTTGGAACGAAACAATGGTGTCTCGGAGAAAATTATTTCAGGCCTGCCACAACAAATAAGTCCCATGTCGACTTGAAAATTGAAAAGAATTTAATCCTGCCGGAATTTGTATTTGGCAAACTAGAATATTCCAAGGCCAACCTCTGTCACAACAATTTCGTATATTATTGATTACAGCATCGGAACAAAACATGAGCTAACAAGCAAATGTAAAATTGATCAAGGCAACAAAATTATTATTTTATTCTTAACTGTTATTACATTTACTTGTAAAACTTCGATGTTTTCACTAACAATTTGTCGGCGACGTGAACTTGCCAAATATCGCATATCCGCCGATCTTTGTTTTGATTTACACTATTTACATTGTTCGGATTGTTGTCCTATTTTCGTTGTCATATTCACGACGTTTCGGCCGTTGTACGCTCCGGCGTTCTTCAGGCTCTGTCTATATTTCTGAGAAGAGGTATTGTAACAATGGTGGCATAGAGAGATGAAAACGTTCTGTATGGGCATCCACCGTTCACTCAAAAATTGAGAAAAGTTTTCTCCTGACAGGAATCGAACTCAGATTCCCTTTTTAATCAGGGAAACTGTTTCGACGCATACCAGTAATTTCTGCAGTCACATTCTTTTTATCCAAAGACTTTAGATCACTAATCCTGTAGATATTAATTTCACTCTTTAAAAACGGTGTATGCTCAAACAGATGTTACTTGCATCCCAACAAATATACCGAAATGATGTCGAATAAGATTTTTAATTTTATATATATATATATATATATATATGTGTGTGTGTCATTTGCAGACAGTACTGTTTCAGACGGGACAAGCGAATGCCGCAAGCCCGGATCGAAACCCAACCGATATGGTGTCAGTCAGAGATTCTACCACTGAGCCATCTTCACTTGACAGCCAATATCTAGTGTATTGTGTTTACAAACGTAAACAAACGTCAAATAGCCCATGCTCCATTCATTTTTTTCTCTTGATGGTTCTTGAATAGACTTTGAAGATGGAAGCCAGAGTATGAATGAACCATTACTGAAAGTCTGAATGATCTTTTTCCTCTCACCATTGCTCAGTTGGGAAGACATAGTGGGGCTGACACAAAATGATTTTAACCTGTTCTAATTCTAGCTGAATAACTCAAAGGGTTTTTCTGTGATTCTTACGACAAATGGCGTCAGGATGGCTAAACATACCCGAAAAAATGAAACTTATTTAGTTTAGTGTTTTTTTTTTATATTAAATATTTTGTGGGATGGACAATTATACTGTAACACGATTCGGAAAAATTTTGCAATTACACCTGCTGATATATATATATATATATATATATATATATATATATATATATATATATATGTGTGTGTGTGTGTGTGTGTGTGTGTGTTCTAAAAAGAATGCTGGAGATGCCATGGATCGATTATGAGGGCAAATTTTATGCCGATATTCTGAAGAGCTTTTATAAAATGGAAAAAAATTGAAACATACTTAACATTAGGAAGAGGCAGTGGAAATTTCTCGGCTACCTAATGAGGAAAGAAGGCTTGAAAATATGATACGCACAGTACAGATTGACAGCTTGAGAAAAACTATTTTGTGAGCTTAAATAAATTGATGGTGGAACAGGTTTCAGAAGAAATGACAAAAAGACAAAGTTTTTTGAGAGCAACAAAGGACAGGAAGTTGTGGAGAGCCATGAGGAGAGGACAAGGCAAATAGAAAAAGTATTGTTCACTTGTTCTGCAAATTGGACAATTAGATATCAAATAAAATTCATTTTTTCTTTCTCCGACGTTCTTCTTTAAAGGGTTTTTTTTGTTTCCTTTTTTTCTTTATTTTAGCTCCTTATCCTTTTTTTATTCCATCCTTTTCTTTCCTTACAGTGTTTTCTTTATTTCTTTCTTTTCATTAGCTCACTTTTACTTACATAGCTTTCTTTGGTTCTTTCTTTCTTTCTTCTCATTATCTTATTTTTCCTTATAGAGATTACTTTCTTTCTTTCTTTCTTTTTCTTTCTTTTCATTATCTTATTTTTCCTTACAGAACTTTCTTTCTTCTCTTTTTTTACTTTTCCTTTCGAGGGTCTTCTTTCTTTCTTTCTTTCTTTCTTTCTTTCTTTCTTTCTTCTTTCATTCTTTCTTTCTTTCATTCTTTCTTCAGTCTTTTATAAATCTATTTCTTTGTTTTTTCTTTCTTTCTTTCTTTCTTTCTTATTTTTCCTTACAGAGATTACTTTCTTTCTTTCTTTCTTTCTTTCTTATTATCTTATTTTTCCTTACAGAGATTACTTTCTTTCTTTCTTTCTTTCTTTCTTTTCTTTTCATTATTATTTACTTTTCCTAACGGAGCCTTCTTTCTTTCTTTCTTTTCATTATATTAATTTTCCTTATAGAACTTTCTTTCTTCTCATTTTTTTACTTTTCCTTTCGGGGCCTTCTTTCTTTCTTTCTTTCTTTCTTTCTTTCTTTCTTTCTTTCTTTAAAAAATGAACTTTTCTGACCCAGAGAAGAGTTTCAGAAACAATCGTTTTTTCCTTCACTCCACCAGAACCATCAGTGCCAGCCATTCCTTTTCTATTCCATTATTTCTCTGCTTCTCTCGTCCTCTTTATTCTTTGTTCCTTCTCCTTCTCTGTCCTCGACAACTGCTGACGTTGAATCCGTAATTTCGGTACAACAAAAACAGCGAAATCGGTACGCGAAGCCATATTTGCTGGCGAGGCTATAATTGGCGCAGAGCTTCGAAGCAAGATATTGCTAAGTGGTTGTGCTGATATGACGCTTCTAATCGGGTTGCTAGCGAAGATTACTATGGTTGCGTTCTTAAGTGTCAGGTAGGGAAGCGAGCGGGAGGAAGAGTTGGAGGAGGGGAAAGAGGAAGTCGAGAAATGGTGAGAAGGACAGTAGAAAGAAAGAAGGAAAGAAAGGTACTGACCGAGTAAGAAAGAGCAGAAAAGAAAGACTAAAGAAGTAAGCGAAGTGAAATGACAAAGAAAGAAATAAAAAAAGAAAGGAAGAAAACAAAAGAAAGAGAGAATGAAAGAAAGAAAGAAAGGTACTGACTGTCTAAGAAAGAGCCAAAAAGAAAGACTAATGAATTAAACGAAGAAGAAAGACGACGAAAGAAAGAAAGAAACAAAGAAAGAAGCAAAGAAAGGTATTGATTGACTAATAAAGAGTAGAAAAGAAAAAAAACTAAAGATGTAAGCGAAGTGGAATGACGGAGAAAGAAAGAAAGAAAGAAAGAAAGAAAGAAAGAAAGAAAGAAAGGTACTGATTGTCTAAGAAAGAGCAAAAATAAAGAAAAGGCGAATTGGAATGACTACAGAAAGAAAAAATAAAGAAAGAAAAAAAGAAAGAAAAAGAAAGAAAGAAAAAGAAAGAAAGAAAGATTCTGACAGACTGAGAAAGAGCAAATAAGAAATCGAAGTAAGCGGAGTAGAATGATGAAGGAAGAAAGATAAATAAAGAAAGACTTCAAAAACAGGAAGGAAATCGAATGAAAAAGAAGAAAAAAACGCTAATAAACTATGCGAAGTAAAATGACAAAAAGCGAAAGAAAGAAAAAAGAAAGAAAAAGAAGGATTGAATAATAAAGTAAAAGAAAAAAAGAATGGAAGATGGATCAATGAGAAAGATAGAAAAGTAAATCAATCAGGAAAAAGAATAAGAAAGAAAAAAATGTTGATAAACCTAGAGATAACAAAAAAGAAAGACTAAAAGAGCAAACGAAATGAAATGAGAAAGAAAGAAAGAATGAAAAAGAAAGAAAGAAAGAAAGAAAGAAACTGACTGTCTAAGAAAGAACAATAATAAAGAAAATGAGAAGTGGAGTGACGAAGGAAGAAAGAAAAAAGAACAGAAGAAAGGAAGAAAGAAAAGAAAAAATGGCACTAAGTGTTTACGAAAAAGCCAAAAAGAAAGACTAATGAATTAAGTGAAGTGAAAAGACACAGAAAGAAAGCAAAAAGAAAGATACTGACTAAGAGAGAGCAGAAAAGAAAGACTAAAGACGTAAGCGAAGTAGAAAGAAAGAAAGAAAGAAAGAAAGAAAGAAAGAAAGAAAGAAGAGGACAGACGCGATCATTATCGAAAAATGCAAACAGTCAAATAAAAGACACCGGAGAGAAGAAAGCTAGCGGCAATTGGAAACAAAGGAACAATTGATTAAGAACCGAAAACAATAAATGGAATAAAACAAACGGAATCCTGCAGAGAAAGCGAAAGTGAAAGTGAAAATATAATAATAATTCACAAATGTCGTATTTCATATTTCTTATTACATGATGTGTCATTGTTTTTTTTTTTCGTTAGATTCTTACAGTTCTTTCGAGTCAGCAAGAAATGAAAAAAAAGCTAACGTGTACAACATACAGATAACTACTATATGCCATCACGTGGGCGATTATGGTTCTCCATAACTTCCTATTATTTGTAATTATTAATGTTTGCATTTTCACCATCTCACCTCTCGTTTGTGCCATCCATTTCCACAAGCTCGTTAAGCAGGTTACTGGCTTTATCTCTCTGAGCCTCTTGCCTTCAATATGGAGCCAATTTTTTCAATTTCAATACTTAGACGTTGCAACTGACTCTTTATTTTTAATTGTAAGCACCCGTTTGGTTTTCGTTTTCCTGAAAACATCCAAGTTGCTCACACATACCGTCAGCGGTATTCTCATCATCCTTCTGTAGAACCACATTTCTGTTGCCTCAAGTCTCCTTCTTATCTATGAGAAAATTATCCAGCATTCGGCGACATTGTTTTCTCTTGTTGTCAAGAAATGCTATTATAGAATGGAAAGAGTCTCAAAATATAACGATCAGACAATATTGGCACATTTAAAACAGTTTAGATAAAAATTGATCTCTGAATAAATCAAACGTTGCTCGCATTCAGATTTTTACTCTGTTTTTATAATTATTGGGAGACTCCTGAGTTGATACTTGGAAAAAGTCGTCTTGCATTTAAATTACTTGTAGATAAGTTCGCTAATAAAATTAGAAATATGCTGTATCTCATATCATGATTTCTCTGCTTAACACTTATCTTTTTCTTGTCATTGAGACTTTAACATTTATTCAGAAATAATTTCGCATATATATGTAATAGAATGAACAGTACAGATACACAAGAGACGGTCAAAGCATTTTGTTAAAAAAACATCTGTATTACTTGCAAACCATGAAACCAAGATGTTGCAACGCTGGAATACAGCTAAAACTTTACAAAGAATGAAGAGATAAAAGAAGACAAGTTTCGAAAGTCGGTGGACTAATGAATAGTGGCTCGGATTGAGGAATCGGAGAGCCGAGTTCAAATTCCAGTCGAATCAGTTACATTCACTTACGTGCTAATACCCTCGGGTAAGGTATGAATCTACTTCTTCTCCAGCTATGGGTAAATAGTAGAACACACCAGGTTCTATAGCTTTGAATGGCAACTGGTCTACCACAGAAAGAAATGGCAACCTACTACACTTAGGCGATCATGTATCTTTCGATACCTGATAACTCAAGCCTCTATCACACATGGCACATAACTGACTGAAAGTCGCAGAAAACGCAGACCCTGTCAGGATTTTAAGCAAAGGCTCCATGTAAATGGTAATGGTGATGTTAGCCGTTTCCCTACAAGGAAACATTTGGTATACATTGACCAAGTTTGAAATTTATAAAATCTTTTTCTTTAAAGAATTTTTCAGGGAAGTACTTCTCAAGTTCAGTCGCTCCTATTCCTCTTTCCAATGTTTACATTCTTTTAAAGTTTTCTTTTAATCAATTCCCTCCAAGGAAGGCGATAATGCCACTAAGACGCAAGAGGCTGCTGGGAGAGAGAGAGAGAGAGAGAGAGAGAGAGAGAGAGAGAGAGAGAGAGAGAGAGAGAATTAAAAGACTTTAGAAGGAACAGGAAACCCAATCCTAAACAGGGAAGCGACAAATCAACTACTCCTGTTCAAAAAACCGGGGAGGAGTAGGAACTGGACGATAGGTAAATTTATCTAATTACTATCAAGGAATAGATTATTTTCCAGAGTGTAAACGGAGATGTTAGAAGTATAGAGTTGAAGTAGACTTTAGAAAGAACCGAAAAGCCACTGAACTGGAAACAAGGGATCAACCTCTACTCAGTTGAAAACACCTGGGAGGGGTAGGAACCGGGCGAAAGGCAAACTTATCTACTCCTGTTTCCTTTCTAATCTTCTATTTGAAGTATTGTGAAAGAGTTTAAATGGAACAGGGAAGACCTGGGAGGAGTGTGAACCGTGCGAAAGGCACACCTATCTACTCCTGTTTCCTTCCTATTCTTCTATTGGAAGTATTGTGAAAGACTTTTGAATGAACAGTGAAGACCTGGGAGAAGTGTGAACCGGGCGAAAGACAGGCTTATCTACTCCTGTTTCCTTCATAATCTTCCGTTTGAACTATTTTGGAAGACTTTAGAAGGAACAGGGAAGATCTTGGAGAAGTGTGAAGTGGGCCAAAGGCAAACCTATCTACTCCTGTTTCCTTCCTAATCTTCTATTTGATCTTGCTTATGTTATTATTTTCTCTTCCAGTTACATGTGATATCCATTTTAGTCATTGCCGTTGTTGTTATTTCTTAAGTGATTCTGTAATTCCGTGAAACACAGAGGATGCTTGTAGCGTATCCTAGCGTTGACATGTACGAAAAGAGAATCCGAAAGTCAAGTAAAAATTTCTTCGGTCCTGGGTATGACGATAAACTATATCCGGCAGCAAGGACTCTGATCAGGAGATTGAAGGTTTTGAGGATGGTGTTGGTTCCAGATCCACCCTTACTCGAGGAGGTGGCAACTATTAGATTCCCAGCTACCGGAAATAGTGATCCACTGTGACACCATTTACCAGCACAAAAAGAAAAGAAAGGAAAAAGAGAAAGGAAAGAAAGGAAAAGAGAGTCGAGACTTAAGCTTAGATGATAAAAGAAGCCACCCACGACCGGGGACATTGACAATGTTATTTTGATAAGTCGCACATGGTGAAAGGTTTCATTACCATCGCAGAAAAATTCTAAATGGATAAGAAAATCGACTATGTTCTGGTGGCGAACTTGTGTTATCGGGGATAGATAACAGCCGCTTAAAGCTGGCGAACATCTAATTAGCAAACCACAGACCGGCTAGCTAAAAAACTCCAATTGACAATGTTATTTTGATAATTGACAAAAAACAGGTGAAATACAGGGCTTTGGATAGATAAGAAAAATTAACTGTGTCAGAGGGGGCAAACAATATTGTCGGGAAAGGATTTAATAGGTGGTCTGCTAACCGCACACAGAAGCCAACCCTGAGTCACGACTTGGCCGTTTTTGACAAGACATCTATAGGTGTTAGAATTCGGTTGTGATAACAAAACTATGTTATCAGAAATTGGCACCAAGAATGACTAGAACAATGGAACTGTTTTTTTTCGAGACGACGGTCGACTGTGTTTTGCTGGACGACCACCCATTCTGATAATTGGCG